GAAGTGTAAAGCGAAAGGAAAACTTGAAATCGCATCATATGACCCCTTTAAAGGATTATTTGCACAAATTAAAAGCAGCTTCTTCCAAAATGTGCAACTTTCTTCTGTGGAACATAAAAGCAGATATTTTGTAGAATGTCTGAGCTGCTCTTTTTCTTAATGAAAGTGGTGATTTAAACTTTCAATCTCAAAAAACACCAACAACTGCATTATATTCAGTCTTCTTAAGTAATTTGATAGCTTTGTGCACAGACAAGCTCTCAAATCTAATTCATGCTTGCAGTTAATTTAAAACAGTCTAGCACATTACATCATGATCAGTAACAAGATATATAGGAAACTATGATGTTTCACATCACTAATGTGCCACAGTGTGTCTAGAGGCGCTATGTTTAAATGTGAGCATTACGAAAATTACTATTATGCTCCTCAGAAAAAAATCATATGGGTTTGGAACAACATGAGTGTGAGTAAATCATGACAGAATTTTCATTTTTGGGAGAAGTAACTGTATAAATCCTGATTAAAGCAGTAATACATGCTCAATACAGGTTCAAAAGACAGAAAACTGGCATTGTTTTCCATTGAAACATTCTAATATGCTGATTTGCTGCTCAAGAAACATTTCTTATTATTATCAATGTTAAAAACCATTGTGCTGATGCATTTGTGGAAATGGTGATTCTTTAATGAATAGAAAGTTCAATTTATTTGAAATATAATTTTTTTGTAACATAAATGTCTTTACTGTCACGTTTGATGAATTGAATGTGTCCTTGCTGAATAAAATTATACATTCTTTAAGAAATTGACTCTTTATAAAGACAGCTGCTCTGGTATCCATCATAAATAAATCACAAGATGCTCTTTAGCACAGTAAACAGAGTGTTGACATCTTCAAGGAAATGTCAACCTAAGTGCTAAACCACAAAATCGCACACCCTCATTAAACACTGTTCTGCTTTCTGGTTCAGGTCACCAGCAGCAATAACAGTCTGCATCAAATTGGATTCCAGCTGAGACATGTGAGAAGAGCTTTCAGGCTGCATGCAACTTTAAAATGATTCCATCCGCCTGTCTTTGTCTCTCTTTCCATCCAGAGAATATAAGTTGTCTCATGTGATTTATGGAAGCGTGAGCAACAGGCTAATCTGTTGGGCTGGTCAGTGGTTGGAGGTCTTTGTGTGTTGGCCTCAGGCTCTGTGGTCTTTAATGGCTGAGGCTCCACGCCATCATCTGCTTCGCATTGGCAAGCGGTGCATTGCATTATGGGGTCACTGAGGTTCTCCTCTTCATATTCCCCTGTGGTTTGGAGGGTCTTCACGAGAGTGTTTGAGAAACCATTGTGGAGTTTGTGCATATTTAAGACATGCTGTGCATGTAGAATGAAGTGTGCATGAATTTGCATGTGTCATGGAGGATGCAGCAGACTAACTTTATCTGGTAAACACTATTGGTACTGTACTTCTCTCTTATTGCGATCTAGACGCCTAAATTGGCTTTTTAAAAAGGCAGAAAGTTTGCAGACTAGACTAAAGTGTTGTTTTAGTATCATTTATATACTATTCTAATTAGATTTTTTCTATATGTATTTAAGTGAAAGTGACATGACATGTGGCCAAGTATGGTGAACCATTCTCAGAATTAGTGCTCTGCATTTAACCCATCCAAAGTGCACACACACAGCAGTGAACACACACACACCTTGAACACACACCCGGAACAGTGGGCAGCCATTTTTTTACTGCGGCGCCCGGGGAGCAGTTGGGGGTTCAGTGCCTTGCTCAAGGGCACCTCAGTCGTGGTATTGAAGGTGGGAGAGAGCGCTGTACATTCACTCCCCCCACCTACAATCCCTGCCGGTACGAGACTCAAACCCGCAACCTTTGGGTTACGAGTCCGACTCTCTAACCATTAGGAAAATTTTATGTTTTCACTTTCATAATAGGTTTAGTAATTTTGTTGTGTGCTTTTGTCATTTGAGTTAGTTTTTGTTTAAACGTCTTTAAGTTTTTATTAATTTGTATTTTATTAGTTTTAGTTAGTTTAGCACTTCAAGTTAACCTTTGTGCTGTGCTGAAAATCATTTATGTAATTTTGTGTTGCCTTTTAAAAATGACCGGCCTTTTGGAAATTGCTTGTCAATCTCTCATTATGCTATATTATCACCACATTTTTTTTAAACGAACACAAGTTTTGTATTTCCTTTTGGAACTGATTGATCGTAGGCCTCATTGATCTAAGCTTAAGCGCCACAGTTTTTGAGTGAAATTTTTTTTATTTGTGAATAATTTTGGTAATTTTCACCCAAAAACAAGTTTGAATCCAAAGATTAAATCCAATATTTGTAAATAATATAGCATAATGAGAGATTTACAAGCATTTTTTTTTTTTTTTGTAGGCTGGTGGTACACCATGGTGGGGGAAAAAATCCCCAGATAGAATGAAAAAATATAAATATATAAAATATAAAATATAGATATATATGTAGATATATAAAAATAAATAAATCAACAAATAAGGGAAGTTGTTAAAAATGAGAAATGTTGTCTTTGCATTTTTATATTTTATTTGATTTCAGTTAACATTTATTTTATTTCAAGTAGGGAGAAAAGTTTTTTTTTATTGTTAACTACAATAACCCTGGCACCCTATATAATACTAAATAATTATATACACTATATAATACATTGTTTGATGTATTGCTGCTGCTGTGAGCAATAGAAAATGTACACAAACATCTTTGATATATTCTGTACATCCAGTAATAATGCAAAGTTAACTGCACCAGGCAAATTGTGCTGGGTTTATATGAATAAAGCACTATAATAATTTGCATAAAAATGAGGCATGTTTGTACTAAAAAGAATGACAATGACTAATGATAAATATTAAAAAATGTGCACGGTCCTTTACAACTGGATTGTTAGTGGTTTGTGAAAATTGCTATCATTTACTGTTTGTAAATTCACCCCTCATGGTTTGAAATCTTTTGCATGTAATGATGCTGTATTATCAGGACTTTTTCTTTGTAGTCTCATCCATATACAGTGGTTTTATCAGGGAGCCTTGCTGCATGAGATTCAGCGTGTGCTCAGAGAAGCGAAGACCGTTTCTGTCGTGTTTCTGAACGCTATAAAACCTGCTGGTGCTACCATAATTACTCAAGCAGCTATGATGCATTTGACTGCGTAAAAATGTGCCCTGGAGCACACAGGAAAACATCGCTGTAACCTCAATGCATGTTCAGCTGACAACAGAAAGAGAAAGAGTGAGAAAGAACCCGAATGAGAGAGAGAGGAAGTCCTGTGATGACTCAATGGTAAATTGATTTGGGCTCCAAGTAGCAGGAGCAGATGAGTCAGAGTTTCCACTGTGACCAGCTCTCTCTCTCTCTCTTTTACTATCTCTCTTTCCCTCTTTCTTTGTTTGCATATGTCTGTATGTAAAGGTGTGTTTGTTTGTGTGTTTGTGTGTGTGCATAAAAACTAATTTACATCTACAGTATGTAACGTCACTCGATATGTTAACATGCACATACACACAATGTATTTGTTCATTTATCCTGCTGTATCATAATGCATTTACATGGCAAAATGGCAGTTAGAAAAAAATAAGAACTAAAGAAATGTTATTTTACAGTTTTTACTGATTATTTAATTATGGAAGCCCATTTGCGCCATGGAATAAAAAAAAAGGAAAAAGGTAACTGCAACTTTTTATCTCACAATTCTGACTTTTTCTCACAATTCTGAATTTATATCTCCGATTCGCACTTTGTTTCTCTTTTTTCTCAAAATTGCAATATATAAACAGAACTGCTGGATATAAACTTGCAATTCTGACTTTTTTCCTCTGAATTCTGAGTTTACATCAATCAATTTGTTTTTATGTTTCTGCCACAGAATAAAAAATTAAGAAATGTAATTCAACTTTTTATCTCACATTTCTGACCTTTTTCTCTCTATTGTGAGTTTATATCTCACAATTCTGACTTTTATTCTGAGAAATGCGGGGGAAAAAACAGAATTGTGAAATAAAAAGACGCAATTACCTTTTCTATTCTTTTATTCCATGGCAGAAATGGTCTTCCATATTTAATCACATTCATTTTGTTTCAAGCCTGTATACAGTTTTTTAATGTGGATCACAAAAAAGGAGAGTATTTGAAGTTTTTTAAACATACAATGATAGTTCATAGTGATTAAGCTGGTAAAGCTCCAAAAAGAAGCCATAAAGGACCATTTTTCTGTATGATATGGGCACTAAAGTCTTCTGAAACCATATATTTTTGTGTGAAAAATGTAAGCTGTTATTCACTCAATCACCTCCACTAAAGCTTTAAAAAGGACAACAGTGTTGTGAAGCCAAAGGCCATTGCATGCCATATGACCAAACATCAATTTAACATTAATTCTTATCGTGAATATCAACAGAAAATTGGCTCTCTTCCTCACACAGAACAATCATACAGTATGTCTTCAGAAGACTTGCAATATTACGCACTAGTCGTATGAACTACTTTGCTCATTTTCAAAACAACTGCATTTCATCTTGTGGGATATTTTGTGCAGATGGATCAGAATTTGGAACTGTATGCTTACCGTATGCTTTGCATGTTAAATTCATATCACATTTATCTGCATGGTGTGAAAACTTCCCTATGTCCATGTGTGGCCCAAAGCTTGTCTCATGTGGGACTCTAATCTTCGGGTTTCGTAACTAGTTGACCTTGGAAGCATTACTGTATGTCAGAGATGGTTTATGGCCATCAGGTTGCTTTTAGAATGGCCTACGACTGGCTGATCATGAATCTGACGTAGGTGGGTCACGAACGCTCTCTCTCAGAATGAGAAAGCTCTGGGTGAGTGGGCATGGCAGCTCTGAATCTGTGGGCTGAGGCCACAAGTGCCACAAATAAACATGGGGGGATTTTTTCACTCAAACAGTACGACTGTGCACGCATTAGCTAGAAAACAGGACACCTTTGATCATATAAGTTTAAAAGTGAAGCATATTCGGACCATTAACTTGACATGTTACAGCAGCGTCATGATGTACTCCATCTGAAACGATTCTGAGCTGCATTTTCTAATTGCATGCCATTTTTACGATTCTTGATATAGAAGATTTTTACTTTAACTTTTGTGTGTGTATTCATTACTGCTAAAAAAGAAAATTGGGATTGGTAAGATTTTTTCATGATGTTGAAAGAAGTCTCTTATACTCACAAAAGCTGCATTTATTCAATCAAAAATACAGTAAAACAATAATATTGGAAAAAATTATATTAGCTGAATTTTCAGCAGCCGTTACTCCAGTCTAGTAATTAGATATGTATAATAATATGTATAATATATAATTGTGGAAGATGTAAATATGTATTTTTTAATATATATATATATATATGTGTGTGTGTGTGTGTGTGTGTGTGTGTGTGTGTGTGTGTGTGTGTATATATGCCCTATATGCCAGTTTGGCTATATGATAATCGAGAATAAGAAAGCTTCATGTATAACAATCTACATTTCTGTGTGTTTCTCACAATGTTATTATATGGCTTCAAAAGACTTATAGCGCATAAGCATTTAAAAAAAAATGTTTGGGCCTGTAATTTTTAGTTCATAACCTGTGGGTTTCATGCAAAAACTAACATGCAGGCACTGAGTAAATAATGACATTTTATTCATTTATAGTATTCATAGTAAATTATTAATTTCACCTGAGCCTTTGATGCAATATGTCAGCTACACTTTGACTTATTTGGCAATCTCAGATGGCCACTCCAAACACACACGGACTAGCTGATCCTCCGCTCCTCCAGCGGTCATCCTGACCCACGTCTTCTGTTGCAATGGCAGTAATAGCAGCGCTCTGATAAGATGTGCCCTACATAGCACATGTGTGAGTTCTGGGCGAGATAAGCCCTGTCTGCATTAGACTCTTTGATATGGCGGCTCCTCTGATAGCATCTCGATACATGCATCCAGAGACGCTTGCTCTTACAGATGCAGAGATAACTGCAACAAAGCGTCACCAGTAGGAAGAGCTCCACTTTATTTGGCTGTGAAGGTGATAAGGGATCCTCTGTTATTCTTCCCCCTTTGTTGCCACGGTTACAGCAAATGAAATTAGTGAGGCGGGGATCAAAACATGACATGTCGAATGCACAATGTGTTTATCTTTAATGCTTGCTGTCTGCACTCATCTAATGTTAGATGCAGGGAAGAACTGGCTAAGAATAGACACATACAGATTTTGTGTTGCAAATATAGAATGTACAGTCTCATCCATAAAATATACATTTATTTATTTAGCATAAATGTAAACATTTATTTGGGAGTCATGTTATAATCTAATTAACATTTAAATACTGGACAATGTACAATCATTATCACAAAATAAACTCCAACAGGTTGATCAGGACTGGTGTTTTATGACCCTAAAATATTTTATTTTGAAATAATGTTACTTATACATACAAAATGAATAAATAGCAATATTGATAAGTTGACCCAAATGTGAAAATCTGCTGAAAATTTACTCACCCTCAGGTTATCCAAGATGTAGATGAGTTTGTTTCTTCATCAGAACAGATTTGGAGAAGTTTAGCATTCCATCACTTGCTCACCAATGGATCCTCTGCAGTGAATGGGTGCCGTCAGAATGAGAGTCCAAACAGCTGATAAAAACATCACAATAATCCACACCACTCCAGTCTATCAATTAGCGTCTTGTGAAGAGAAAAGCTGCGTGTTTGTAAGAAACAAAATCCATCAAGACATTTTTAACTTCAAACCATTGCTTCTTTTATCCACAATATTGCTTTCTCAGGTGAAAAAGTCATCTCGTCTGAATCAGGAGAGAAATATGCACAGATCAAGCTCCGTTTACAAGCCAGAACAGTTCTAAACAAATATGTCTGTGGGTTTTGATGTGACAACAAAAGATGGACTTTTCTTGGGAGAAAGCAATATTATGGATTATAGACTCATATTTTGGCCAGAAGCAATGTTTTAAAGGGGTCATATAATGCGATTTCAATTTTTCAAATAATGTGTTTTTTGAACCTTAAACCGCATAAACACATTTCATTACACCAAATACACAAAATAATGTTCTTTGTAGCAGCATCATATGACCCCTTTAAGGTTAAAATGCCATAATAATGGATTTGTTTCATACAAACATGCAGCTTTTCGCTTCATAAGATGTTAATTTTATGGACTGGAGTCATGTGTAATACTTGTGGATAATTGTGATGTTTTTATCAGCTGTTTGGACTCTCGTGATATTTTTATCAGTTGTTTGGACTCTCATTCTGACAGCACCCATTCACTGCAAAGGATCCATTGGTGAGCAAGTGATGGAATGCTAAATTTCTCCAAATCTGTTCCACAAACTCATCTTAAATGGCAGAAGGTGAGTAAAATTTAAGCAAATTTAAATTTTTGACTGAACTAGTCCTTTAACCGCTTAACTAAACACTCCTGCTGTAGACATGTTATAATCGATTGCAGTTTCTACATGAAAATGTACAGGTGCATCTCAATAAATTAGAATATCGTGGAAAAGTTTACATTTATTTAATATACGAGTTTCACAATTTGAGCTGAATTACTGAAATAAATGAACTTTTCCACGACATTCTAATTTATTGAGATGCACCTGTATAACATCAGTATTAGTCACTGATGTAATTTCAGATAACTGTGGGAGGAAGACAGAAACTAACCACAGCCTGACTGTTGTTTAGAGATCTCTACAGATACCAAATGCCATTTGCAGGAAAGATTGACAATACCAGGCTATTTTAAATTTAAAACTAAATGTGGCCATGATATGCTGATGACTTTTAAGATATTGATTTCAGTCCTGCTTCACTGCTATACTGTAGATCTATTAGCAAAGAGAAACCAAATCTGTTGTTTTATAAAAGTTATCAGTGTGGTTTCACTTTCATTCTGTAGATGTCATCGCACTACTTTCATCTAGACATATTGTGAAAGTCGTTTAGCGTGATTTAGTCAAGTTTGACAGCTCTAAGAACGCAACATGTCAAATTATGAATACCTGACACAGTTTGATACTCAGCATTGAATTAAGTTGAGATTATGTAGCTTGAAGTTTTTGGGCCTTGTGTTTGAGTTAGTGCTGCGGTTTATGGGAACTACAATTGATGTTGATCCAAGAACACCATAATCACATTGTGTTCTAGAAGACATCAGTGCAGTTTTTACTTAGTCATACTGCAATCACTCACTAGTGAACAAATCATGAAGGAATGAGATTATAAAAAATTATTCCCTGCTAAGTGATTACAAATAAAGTAACATGCCTCTGTAGAAATTTAAAGAAAATCTTTTTGGATTTTAACCACCTGTATAATCCAGTGACTGTCCAACAGCAAGATTATATTTTATTTGGGTTTTATCAAAGATTACACCAATATGCAATAGACTATTAAATAACATTGTATTGGATGAACTGCAATTCTAAGCTAAAAATCTAAAAAGATTTCTTGAGCAGGGCTGTCATTTCACCCAGTCATGCTGCAGAAACAATCAGTGTAGTTCCATCCAGTCATATGGTACGCTAGGTTCTCCGGGGAGTCATATTTCAGAATGGGCTTCTTGGCATCCGGAGTTGTTCTGTTTGAGAATGGAGGCAGGCCACAGCTGGATGAGTCATGGTCATTGATGAGGAGCTCAGCATTCAATTCCTGTGCTGTGTGTCTCCATCCTAACACACCTCTCACTTTTGCATGAACAGAGAATTCTAGAACAGTTCTACATAAAGAAATGTATACATAAAATGTTTTTCCTCTTATATATATATATATATATATACATAAAATAATTTTCCCCTCATATATAATATGATATATATTATACATACATATATACATATATATAAGCTATTCTATATTAGTATATAGAACACTTATGACCTTTGTAAATCACTTTCCATCTCAAATAAGTTGTTTTGCACAGTCTGGTCTCCTAGATTCTCCAGTGATTAGTCACTATAGCTCAGAAGGCCAGTGATGGCATGGCAATTATGCTGTCTCAGTTATTACGCTGCCATCGCCATTGTTTTTGTTATTTATTACAGAGGCATGATAATTATGTTGACAGTACTGTTTCAGTGGAATGCGAGAGACCAAATAGTTAAGGATGGTAATTCTCCACGGAGACAATCAAAGCCTCTGCGGCCGATGAAGTTCTGCTGCGTGTCAGCACTATAGTTGATCCCAAACAAAATCAATGCAAATGTTTCTTTTGCACAGCAAAATAACAAATTTGTATGTTTACTGCATCAGCTTTTCATTGCGCTTTATTGCTTTTTGCGTTTGTTTTGCTGTTTTCTTGTTTATCTTGGCTGCAGAAACTTGGCATATGGTGTGATTGCTGGCTGCAGAGCTCATACTGGTGAACTTCTCTTCTGAATGCTCGTTTATCCGCCCCCATATAGCCTGATTCAGTTCGGCCTCTGCCCGTATGCAATGGCACATTGAGTCGAATGTTATTGGAATCCATTCACTTTACTCACTTGCGGCGACAACAACCATATCAATGTAATAACAGCGAATGCCCTCAGAAGTCTAATGTGATTTCCACTATGGCGGTTCAATATCTTTCCATGCACAATAGCAGAACACGCTGTGGCAATGTAGCCTGCAATATGAAGGAAAAAAAAAACATCTTAGGCTTTCTTTATTGCCATTTCCCATCTGGTCTCATCTCCCCTGTCTCGTACTGCATGACCCCGTCTTGATGGTGTCAGGAGATCACCATCATTTGACAGCATTGCATTTTCTTTGACAGGACATAAACAGGTGTGATATGTCTGTGGAATGAGCCATTTACATGTGAGTTTAGTCTGACGCAGGACATGGTATGTTGTTTCCACTGCTGGCACAGGAAAGGGAAAATTCCTATGGAATGACAATTGCATTGGTAGGCACATCAAAGGCCTTCTGAGAACAGAAGGAAACAAACCGAACCCCTT